CGCAGAGGGGGGTGAGGGGAGGGGAGGGGAGAGCCGAGTAGGAGAGGAGGGGAGAAGTACTGTCTCTGCCTGACCTGGAGACACTGGTTGTGACACAACGTGTCACTGCATAGGTGCAAAATCTTCCACTGCAGTAGCTGGGAGTAGGAATGGCAGCATAGTGGCACAATTTTCTGGAACACGTGAAGCTTTCAGTCCATCTTGAAATGGTTTCAAAAATCGCTGCAGAAGTGCAAATGAAACTGTTAACATCAGAATTAAGATCTAATGGAGAGGAACTCTTAAGTTACTTGTGACTTCTTATTCTTTGACAGAATTATGTGAAGGCAATGAGGCTATTCGTTGGAGAACCCGTCTGGACAGCATACAACAGGCCGGCTGATGATTTTCCTGCTCGGAAGCAGTATATGAAGTTTTTGGCTGAAGAAGCACAGTAATGGTATCTGAGACCTGACAGGTGGAACAGCCTGAGGCCCTGGCAGAATAAATGTGACTGGTGGCTTTTCACTGATTAGACTTCTATTTACATATACACTTAGAATTACACAATCATGGAAAAATTTAGGTTGAAAGGTCATTTGGAAATCATCTAGTCCAACCTCCTGCAAAGTACCAGGCCAACTTCAAAGTCAGACCAAGTTGCTCAAAACCTGGAGGTCTGGAAACCTCCAGTGGTGGAGGTTCCCCAGCCTGTCTGAGCGCCCATTCCAGTGCTTAGCTGCTCTCATGGGCACGCATTTCTGCTTCACGGCCAGCTCCCTGGTCACAGCTTGCAATTGTTGCCTCTTGCCCTTTCACTGAATGCCTGAGAAGAGTCTGGCTCTGTCTTCTCCACAGTCCCTTCTGTAGTGAGAAACTGCAGTTAGGTGTCCTCTCAGCCTTCTCTTCTCCAGGACAGACAAACCGGTGTCCTTATCTGGGCTCTCTGCACCTCAAGTTGTTAACGAAGATGTTCACATGATTTGCCCTAGTTTTGACTATGGAATGTTGCTTGTAACCACCTGACAGACTTGGACCACCGACTGTTTTGAGCCCGATGGTCCAGAAGTTTTTCCGCCCACCTTGTAGTTCTTATCCGCGGTCCGGATAAGGCTGCTGTGGGACACGCTGTTGAAAGCCTTGCTGTGGTCAAGGCCAATGACGTCTGCTCTTTCCCCTCTGCCACAGAGCCAGCCATTGCCTCCTCGATGGCAGTCAGCCTGGGCAGGCAGAATGGGCCCTTGGTAAATTGGCCTTGACTGGTTGTTCCCCATCACCTGGTGTTTCCTGTGCCTGGAACGGCTTTCATAATAGCTTCTTCCGTAATTTTCCCGGGGACTGAAGGGAGGCTGCCCAGCCTGTGGTTCCCCAGATCCTCTTTCTCACCTTTTCGAAGGTGGCAGTATCATTTGCCTTTTTCTGGTCAAAAAGATTTCCCCGATCACTGTGACCTTTCAAAGATGCCAGCAGCCTTGCAGTGACTTTAGCCAGTTGCATTTGCAGTTGCTCAGAAATCCATTTTCTAACCTTTTTTTTCTTGATATTTCTGGCAGGTGGAATTGGGAGAGGTGGGCTACATTAATATTCATTCTGCTCTGGATCCATGCTAATGAACTATGTAGGATTCAGTTTTTAATTAAAGAAAATAAACCTTCCTTCATTCTTGTCTAAAAATGTTCATAAGATAAATTTGCATAATCGGCATTTCAGTATGCAGCTTCCCTGGTTCTGCCTTGGTACATAAAGCTGTGGTTTTCTCTCAGTAAAATGTAGCAATTTGCTCGAGTGAGTTATTAATAAAATTACTTTGACTTGGGTGTGGGCTTTTTTTTTTTTCTTGTGCTGACATTAAGGACACATTGAACAACAGTGTTACTGTAATTGTTAATCAGCTTTTATCCCTTGTGCTGCTACTGACTTGCTCTGTGACGAGGGGGTGAATCGTTAGCGGTGTGTCTCAGCTGCTTCAGCTGTGAGATGGAGGAGAGTAGACTTAGACGTGCTGGTCTAGTTTCCAGTAAATGCCTTGTGCTTACGCAGGACATGTAGCTCCTCGGCAATGAGCACCAAAGCATTTTGGTATGAATTTGCTCTTTACGATGATGAATTAGATCGGCTGGGCAGATGTACTGCTTGCTCTGGCGCGCAATGTATGATGAGAGCACGGGCTCTGCGCTGGCTGCAGCCTGTGTGCTGATTTCAGCCAGATACGATACAAGCTCTTGCCTTGCAGTTTCCTGAATAAACATGACTCTAGAAAGAAGTTGAGACTTAGGCTTACCTGAATTTTCCTAATGTAGCAGACAGTAGATAATTGGACTTTCCCACTGTTCTTCCCTGTGGGTGTGTGTACAGCCCTTCAGCAGGCAGCAACGTTTCCCTCGCTTTGTAGCAGCATGACTTTTAACCAAGTCTAGGTGCTTGCGTGCTGTAAGTGCTTCTCAAAACAAAGTCGCAATTTTGAAGTGAAATTGTACTAGCATTTATCTTAAAAGTTGGAAAGGGTGAATGAAAAAGGCACATCTTTCCTGCCTTAGGGTCTTGGGTTGCAAGCTAGATGAGATACAGGGACACAGCCGACCCTTCGTACTGCCAGTGGGGGCTCAGTTTGTGGGAGGGGGTGCAGGCACAGCACACGCTTGCAAAATGCAAGCCCTCCCAGCGCGCCGTTCAGCTTATACTGGTTTTTGTGCCATGGTTCATAAGCTTGGCTGAAAAATCAGTGTTACACGCAAATACGAGGTTTAGCGACAGTCAGACAGACATCAGGTAGGCTCATAGGGATGCTGTGCTGTGCCGTGTCATGCGTCTCATCTGTTCAGGGGTTTGCATACCTCTTGCCTGGAAGGAGCACTTGAGTGTCCTCTTGCACAGCACACTGGGGCATCCCAGCCCCAGAGTAAACTTAGGGGATTTTTCAAGGTACAGCTACAGGAATAAATGACAGTTATTGCCTGCGGCAAGTTTTATTCCTTTGACTTCTACGCCATAGAAAATTGTGTTTGCGAGTGTAAAGTAAAATGACTGCTTTCTCCTGCTGCTGATAGCAGTCCCCGGTACCCAATTGAATATGTCTTCTCTCTGGTTTTTTGGTTGTTTTTTTTTTTTTTAAGCAGAAGTCAGCACGAGACTGTTCATTCCTCTTATGGGTCTCTGCATTTTGATCTCTCTCTCTGCAAAAGGAGGAGTGGAGGCAGCAGCGTGGGCTCTCGGGAACCCCATTTACAGCACAGCCAACCCATAACAGACCAGGGCAGCGACTGGGAAGAGAGACCAGGTAACGCACTCTCTTCAGGAGAGATTTACAGTTTGGAGGCTGTGATGAGGGATGGACAGTAAAGCGGCTGCCCGCAGCGATTGCTTTCAACAGCTCGCTGATGTCGGATGTGACCTGGGAAGCAGGATTGAACCACCTTGTTTTGTTGCCTCTCTGGAGGAATATATACACCCAGTACAGCTCCCATCTCCTGGCTGTCAAGAATAACACACGATCACCCCGCTGAAGATCGTTCATCATTTTGATAGCACAATGCATTCTGCCACAGAGAGGTGGCGGGGGCTTGTGGGGTCTTACTGTCAACGCTTTTGAGTCCGTGCCCTTTAGTGCTATAGGTGTCTTTGAAAGGATGAAAGCTTTGCTTTCCCAAAGTGTTTTTTGTCAGCCAGGAAAAAAGCAATTTGGGGCTAGTATAAAGATTCTACACCTGTGAAGAGATTACATGGGAGATTACACTGGGAGGAAACAGCTGGGCGGAAAAAAATGTTAATATTAATAGAAAACACTCCAGAGAGTGGAGAGAGGGGAGGGAGAACACACCGTTCCTTCAGATGAAAACCACCATTTATTTTCATGGCAATTTTTTAGTGTTTGTTTTTTCTTTTCTCCCCACCCCCCCGCCACATATCTAAAAGTGCAAAGTGAAATCGATTTTTGGTCCAAAACCATGAGTCTGTGTTACTGCAGCTAGCGGAAAATCTTGGTGCATTGATGTAGTATGAAAATTTATGTAAGTGGTTCCAGCAGCATCACGTTGGCAGCATTAACTCAGGCAAGGGGAATATTTTAACTGCTCCAGGATTAGAGTTTAAAAAAAAAAAAGAAAAAGTTGGAGAAATGGTACTGAATTGAGGGGTTTGAAGATAGCTTTTTTGGTACCTATGCATTATTTTCCACATTAATCCAAACTTTTCCCAAGTGGCATATACCTCAGTTTCTTATGACCACCTTGAGAGACCTTCACTGCAAGGGGACTCAAAGCAAACTGTGGATGGTCAGTAGGATTTTTAATAAATTAGGTGGGCAAATAGGTGTCTGCAAAAGCTGTGATGCTGCACTCCCTTGTTACATGTCCTGGGCCAAGCGTCTTTGGTGGGATACCTTAATGCAAAGATATTTCACAGCGAGTTGGTAGTTAACTAGTAAGATCCACAGCAGGCACTTAGGGGTGCCTACAATTGGGTGACAGGAAATGCTGACGGCGAGGGGTGTCTCGCCCTGCGAGAGCGGGGGCTGTGCTGCTTTCCAGCGGCTGCAGGAGCCAGGAGCTGCCTGTCCTGGTTGCTGAACTTGACAGGTATAAAATCATGCACTCAGAGCATCGGGTCCTGCTGGCAGAACAGGCTGCTGCCTGGTTTCTGACTCCAGGATTTAGCCTGAACTAGGAACTTATGTGTAGGGACAGTTTCCTTACAAAGGCAATCATTTAATATCAGTCAGCAGACGCCACTGCACATAAAGACCGAGGTGGCAGCTGAGCACTGCTTTGAAGAATATCCCTAGCAGCTGAATCACGGATTTAGATATTTGGCCAGGCAGAGGCTGTGGACCTGACTTGTGCTATGCTCAAAAATTATATCATCTGTTTGGGAGTCTTCCCTGCAAAAATTATAGAAATTCTCAGATTCCTTCCCCTCTCCCCAAAATAGCGTCACTGCCAGTTGTCTTCTATTTCCTGAAGCTAAATAAACATATCACCTAATTGGGGGATGAATTAGTGTTACAATTAGAATATTCCTAGCTCAAAGATCCAGATTTGATCTGATCTGCTGCACTCATTGTGACTTTATAGTGATTCCCAAAACATTTTGTGTGTTTGCAAAAAGATACTCTGCTATACCTGCAGTTTGAAAAACCTATTTTTTATGTATGTGACTGAGTCACTAGCTCTCATTTTTTATTAACTGTATAAATACCCAGATAAGACAAGAAGCAAAATTTCAAAACCCAGAATGCTTGGGGAAAGATTGAGCAATTAAAGGACTGTGGACCTCTTTCAATGCTGGCTCCCCCCACTGCACTTCTCTCTGAGATACCTGCGCTAATTTTGAAAAGTGCCCCTCTGTTTCATTGCCTTCTACGCTGCTTGTCAGGGTACCAATAAATGACTGTTGTGCCTGTCAATGAGCTGTATTTGCCTGGTAGAAAATTGGGCTGGTTGTGCTCCGTGCCTCTGTGATGCTCCAGGATTGCCTTTGTTCATCGACACGGCCCTGAGCAGCCACGCCGTGCTCTGGGCGCTTGTTTCCCCTGTGATCACAGGCATTTGAGCCTGGAA